ACGAACTACTAATATCAGAAATTTTCAGATAGAACAAAAATGCGAATATCAGAAATTTCAGATAGTTGTTGCAAAAAAAAAAATTCAGAGATTTGACTAAGTCCTACTTGCGTTACTAATGAGTGATCAATAGATCGCAAGCTGGCTACTTGATTGAGCGGGTCCTCTGAATGAGAGGTCCGCTCCGATACCAAACTGTTGCATACTGTAACGTGCAGACCAGAACAAGAACCGACCTTTCAATACAAAGTATAAGATAGCTCCGATACCAAACTGTTGCATACTGTAACGTGCAGACCAGAACAAGAACCGACCTTTCAATACAAAGTATAAGATAGCACAACGGAAGACTTAGATACCAGTGATCCGAACARTCAAYKTTGHAMTGCAGYCBTGAAYATACATCATCATCATCGTTACATGGTGTGAATGGGCCTGGCGCTTCACACAGGAAGACAGCGCCAGCCCGTACCATACACAGACGAAGAGGAAGGGGATAGACGAAGAGGGGGAAGATGGGAATGTAGTCAACACCAAGTCTTCGGCACAAGCCCAAATAGTCCCTCGTCGAAATGTCTGAATCCCAAATGTCAAGTCTGGATCCAATGTCGTCAAGTCTCAAGTCACAACTCTGTCTCTCTCTGTCGTAGTCTGAGAAGTCAGGTGGTGAGAGGGTGAGAAGAGAAGGTGGACTTARRAGRRRRARRARRARMWCTCYCTCTCTCTCTGTGTCCAGTACTAACCTGTGAAGTTGGCGCCTTGATGCAGGTACCACGAAGATGGAGCTGGAGCRATGGCGCCACAGGTAAGTAACACTGGCCTCCGCCAGTCTCTCTCCCACTCTACGATCTACCACCTACCAGCRCCCAGCRCTGAAGACTACAGCTACAGSTATGGCGCCCAGCGCCGAAGACTACAGCTAGCGCTACTACTACTAGCGCTGAAGACTACKGCAGCRCTCCTCCTGAGTGCTGYGGCCRAATCCTGAAGACTACYCGTGCCTACTGACCACYMCCTACCCRTGAAGTGCATGGGAACTTCCTATGTACTACGGGTGTGCCTCCTGAGCCTGCCGAAGGGAGGCAGGGGCTGCAGCTGCAGCTCCTGCTCAAACTCGTGAGGAACAGGCTATTTCTGGCCTGTTCCRCATCCCTGTTTACGTGCCTGAGTCTTAGGGGCAGGTCGAAACAATGAGGGCCTGAAAATGGCCCTCCGTTTCAGGCTGAAAACTCTGGGTCTGAAAAGACCCAGAAATAGGCTGAAACGGGGTAGAGCCTGCAGGCCCTCGTTTTTCAGCTTTCAGGCTGAAATGAACGGGGCCTGTAAGCCCTAAGTTTTAGGTTTTTAGGATGAATGTCCGGGACGGGCCCTGCAGGGCCCGTGTGGCTACGCAGTATGCCACACACACACACACACACACACACACACACACACACACACACACACACATCATTCCTCGACAACTCAGACGTGAAGGACCTTCAACTCTTATGGTGTCCTATACCTGTTCCATATTGAGGATAGAAAAGAGGCTGTTCATCGGTGATCTTTCGCAACACAAGCTCTTCACTTGAGGTTGTTCATGGATGATCTTTCCCAATACAAGCTCTTCACTCTTGTGGATTACGTGGCCAGGATCAGACCTGTACTAACGACCGATCATTTTGCTGTTCTCGGATTACGGCTTGATATTTTTTGTTGCCCCTTTGCTGCCTTTGGTGCTTGCTTTTCCATTCCACGAACAGATTGTTTTGAAGGGTTTGCCAAATATAAGTGTGAGGTCACTTCTTGTTTAACAGGAACTGTGGCCCTCGTGAGCAGGCGCAAAGAGTTAATGGGCCGCTTTGTTGGGACACATGATTGACAGTGGTTAGGGTGCCTTAAACAGTTTAACCGCTTGGTGTCACATGGGGGATCCAGCTCCCAGTCTTGTACTGAAGGCCTGTGGTACTCTATACAAGTGCATGTACAAGTGCAGGCTGTGCCTGTGTGTCTGAGCATGCATGTGTCTCCCCGTCTGTCTAGCCCTCACCAGGGCACATACCTGGCACTATTCGCTTCGGCTCAATTTCCAACTCTCCCTACACATTCCACCATCTCCCCAAAGCCATCCCCCAGCTTGCAACCTCCCTCCGCAATCCTCGCTCCCCCCCCCCCCCCCCCCCCCCCCCCCCCCCCCCCCCCCTTCCCTCTCTGTGTACAGCTTAGCGTACAGCACCCATGAACCTTCCTCCCCCCCACCTCTCCCAGTACATTTGCAAACCTTCCCAACATTCTCCAGTCCCCCCTTCGCATGGGCAAACCAGCTTGTGACACCCTGAACAAACTCCCCTGCACCTCGGCCATCTCCCTTCTGTCCCCACAGAAGAAAAGGTAGTACCCCTGGACACTCCCCATAATCCCCCAATGCATCCAAGAAAATCCTAGGGTGTACATATCCATGGTCTGTGTGTGGGAGAAACCCCTTGAGAGGGAGGGGATACGGGGGAGGGAGGGACGGAGGAAGGGAGGTTGGGGAGAGGAGGGGAAGGAAGCGGGCGGGGAAGGAAGGGTGGGGGGAAGGAAGGGGGGGCCAGAGGGGACAGACAGACAGAGCAACAAACGGACCAACGAAAAGATAGAAGACAGACCAACGGACCGACCGAACAAGTAACTCAGCGACCAAGCAACTGAGCGGATGACCGACCGACCAACCAAACAGCAGACAGACTGGCATTTTGGAGACCACATCATACTGTTCCTGTGTTCACAAGAGTCGTGTGTCAAGTATTCTTACGTTCACAGGTAGTATGGGTGGCATTGTCATGTTCACAAGCAGGCCTTCATATGGCATTATCATGCCTGAAGGATTCAGCCAAAGGCTATTTTCCTGTTCACCACAGCATGCATAGGGTGCTGCCACTGCTGCAAAAGCTGTGCAGGTGCCACCAACAAAGAGTGCACACACACGTGTGAGAGAGAGAGTGTTTTTTTCATCATGTAGTGCTTATGGGGCTTGAGAACCACCAAGAAGGATCACACACTGCTGGAAAAATCCACACGACCCAAATCTGCATGGTAGCACTCCAAGATGGCCGTGATTACAGCCATGGCTTTTCAGGCACCCAAATGGCGGCAATTGGAAGCTGATCCTATTGAAGCGACAACCAGAGCCATCACACTATCCAAAACACACACAACAGCCACAGCATCTTGGCAACTCAGCAGCTCAGCAATCCTCTTTTAAACCGCTAGTACACGGCCCCAGCCTTGCAGAAAGTTTTTGTCGCCACAAGCAAAACTCGGAGGCGCCGTGCAGCCAGGCCCGCTGTTGAAAAAACAAATTGGCAGCCTGCGAAGTGGTGCGGGTTCCATGCTGACACCCGCAGCAGGCCGATATGTGGTGTACTGGTGCTTTAAGGTGGGGATTACAGGGTCCGCTTGTATGGGTTGTTCATTTTTGCATGACATGGCAATGGACACCCACCAACCAGCCTGGGGCAACACCATTCATCAGTGAATGCAATTTGTACCAGGGACAACACCAGTAGCACCCTCTTCTTTTGTATTTTGTTTCTGCCATGTACTCTCTCAGTTCTTCTCTGCCACCTCATTACGTAATGGAAATTATATGGTGCACCCCCTCCGCCAATTTCCACTGTCAATCAGCCTCCCACTCATCCAAGCTGGCAAAGCAGAAACCTTGAGAACATAACAGGTGACCCATCTGCACACATAGGGGCGGGCATCCCAGATCTCCTGAGAGGTGTACCTGAGGCATTCGTGAGAAACTAGTTTTGGAACAGAGGGGCAGAGAAACAATAGGACAATTCAGTGGGGCGAGAGCAATGGTAGATCTCCAACGATTTGTCCCAGTCCCAAACCCAACATGACCAACACATGACACTAAGAGGACCATGGTTCATTTCACAAACTAGACACCGGAGTTCATAGAGGAACGAGGTAATGGTCGAACAGATGCATATACCTTCAACTGAATAACAAGAACATTCGGTGCCACACTAATGAACATCTGTTTGCGAGCCGCTGATAATTTCTTGCACCTGCACCAATAAGAGCAGACACCAAACGAATAACATGCACCCAACCCAGCAAACTGAGAAGACTGTTGGGAGACAACAACAGGAGGAAGAGACAGGAAGCAGACAAAAAGCAAGAGGCCTTGCTACTAGAAGTGTCCACGCCTTGTGGTTTGATGATTGCTTCGATGGTTTCACGAGCAGCAAACCAATCATTTAGGAGCGTAAGCTCTGCTCAATATGACTGCTGAGTGGCACCAACAAGAGGAGGGATTATGTTCACAATCAAGCAGCTTCACCACATTTCCTCTGACCGTTGTCTGGTACTGCAACTGGAAGTGAAATGAAACTGGTTGTCAAATTGTCTGCAAATGATAGTATTGATTTGCAACTGGAAGTGAAATGAAACTGGTTGTCAAATTGTCTGCAAATGATAATATTGATTGACTGGAGCTGCATTGAATGCTTTTCAAAGCAATTCTAAGTGATATTCCCGCCAATACTTTCTCAAACGAATTTGACCACATATTGGTATAGTACATCCGGGAAGCATGCAGTCTTGGAGACATCCAGGTAAGTCCTAGTGTGATCATGCCTTAAGACAACCAAGGGGGAACATGCCAAGCACTCCACATAAGACAACAAAGTGCCAAAAGGGCGTGGAGGCTTATTCGCTGAGCTTATGAAAGGGAAAAGTGCTTCACAATTAAAGCGTCCAGCTCAAGCCACCCAGAAATTCTGTGGGTCCGAGCATGGCAGGGAGGCCTGTGCTCAGCAGCACACAGGCATTGTCTGGTTGCTTGAGGCACCATTCAAAAAACGAGCATCCGCGTCCAGCCGGGCTGGACAGATGACCCCCGTCCTCTGCAGGATTTAGTGTGGTCTGTAAGGCCCAAATATGCATCTGTTTGTTCTCTGAACGTCCTCTCTGAACCTACTACAGCTATGGCGCCCAGCCCCGTTGACTATGGACAAACTCAGCTTGAATTCAGCACAGTTGTTGCTCAATCGCACAACAACGCAGCAGCGCTTCTGCAACAACTCGAGGCGAATTGATGCTGTCACCAACTGCTGCGGTGCTTTTGTATGCAACAGTCCAGCTTCCTAACCTTGGATGCCTAGTACCCTCATCTGCTCCCCCAAAGCCCAAGTGCTCCCCAAAGATGACAAGGTGGCAATCGACTCCGTTGCTATGAGCGCTTGGGAGTCACCAGCCTGTTCAACCCAGTGTGACTTTGGTCCATGGTAACTGGCCACACTTCCGGATCACCATGCAGATGGTCTGATCCAGATGTCCAAGCTGAGTGTCCATTCCAGTATCACCATGCAGACGGTCTGGTGCCGGATGTCCAGGCTGAGTGTCCAGACAAGTACATCCGATGTTAGCTTGCCATCCTCGGTTACCTCACGCATTTTCCGGTCTAGATCAATCCGAAGTGTCTGCAAAGGCTCTAACTGATCCCCGTCTCTCCCATTGATCCTCTTGACGTTGTCCACTTCTTTATTTGATCTGATTGCTTTGACTATTTCAGCTTTTGCCTGGATGAAACCAGAGGAATTTTTTTTTCTTTCGGCCGAACATCTCGAGCTCCAGATTACCATGAGTTTAGCCAGTCTCTGTGATATAAACAGGTTATGAAAGAAGGTGGTCCATTTTGGCATGGAGTCTGCTGCTTTCCCCAGCAGTAGAATCCTAATATTGCATGGGAATGCAGCATTTGTAAGGCCTCGCCACACCACATCCCACCATCGCCATATCTGGGGGCGTCCGGGGAGGCACTGTTCCAATTCTGCATTGTAAAGAATGGCCGCAGTATGAGCACATTGGGAAGAGCACCCATCTTTGTTCCAGGTCTGAGCCTGGAAATATGAACTCCAGCCTGGATAGGCAGCGGTGTAGGATTTGCCACTGATCGGCTCTATGGGCCATACGCATGATGTGCAATATTTAGTCAACTGCAGGTCTGCCACACCATTCTCCTCTGGGGGAGAGCCCGCCCCATCAGTTTTGAATCCCGGGTTCGGCAAGAGCAGTTCATGACAACGCCTGTAGCCTTCGTTGACCATGCACTTCCAGATGGACAATGGGTTTCCAGAGGGACATTCCCACTCATCCGGGTCGAATGGGAGCGCACAGATCGTAGTTGACATTTCATCCGCAAACACCCCCTCGTCCACATCCACTGCCACTCTTAACCTCATTACTTCGGAGGTCTGCACCTGCCAGTTCAATCAATCATTCCTCCTTCATTGACCCCACCTTGTCTTCACCCGATTACAACGTACAGTCATTATTGCTGCATCTGGACTCAAAAGTTGCCCCAAATATAGCCATAATGACCATACGTTGTATTAGGGTGAAGACTGTAGGGAAGTGGCCTTCCGCTGTTTCTATTACCCAATCGTTACTTCCAATGCAGGAACCTTTTCTGAGGGCCGCCTCCCAGCTCAGCGGTACTGTATCTCTTCTCTGTCTCAGTTCATTCTCAATGTCCTTTATATTTTTTCAGTTCCAATCTCAGTTGCTGGGGGCGGGTCGAGTTGTTTGACTGTATGCCCCAGAGGTCCCGTATGGTAAAAATTCATTTTCTTTCTGAGGACAGCCAGCACAATTCTTTTGTTACTAAGAAAGGCCGCCCTGTCTCATCCCTTAATCTTAAGTTCTTAACTCATAAGCCTATCACTCTTTGCCCTCACTTTTCCTGCACCAGGAAGTGTCACGCGAGAAGTGCGGTGTGTGCAACAGTGTTGCGGCCCTTGACTGGTCGGCACCTGCCGGTCCAGGACCCCTAATAACACCACCAACACCCACATAGCGGCCAGCAATACCCCCATACCCCCCCCAAACACCCCCAAACCGCCCCCAACACCCTCATTACCCCCCCCAATACCCCCTATATCACCCCTAAACCCCTATACCCCCCCCATACTTCAACCCCAACCCCCCCCATCCCCAAAAGTTTCTCAGCGGATTTGGGCTGTACGCAGCAAGCGCAGTACAGCCCCCAACTCAGATTTGAAAAAAAATCAGTGGATGGTTGTTTTCTGACTGGTCGGCAGACCGCCGACCAGTCGGCCCTACTGGTCGGGTGCAATACCGTCGACGGTCAGGGTCCGCGGGGATGCAACCCTGGTGTGCAATGCATAGAGCATAAGGGTGGGGGGGAATGATATTGACAGGGCGAAAAAGACAAAAGGAGTTACTTGCAAGGCGACACAAAAAATAAACACTTACTTTTCACAGCGGTACTTGTTGTCACCGTCAAGAAGTTCGGATTGAGTGAACCTAGTCAGCGCATCTTGGAGACTTTGAGTACGGTTGATGTCCAGACTTAAATCCATGATAAGATCAGTCCTTGCAGACTCAGAGAGACAACCCATGCATTTCACTATGCTCTGCAGAGCACCCCCGAAGATCTCCTTTACAACAGTGTTTGGTTCGTTGTCGTCACCAGCGTCCATAACTGCTTTTCCACCCCCCTCGCCTACTCCGTTGCTGCCTGCCTCATTTGTTCCTCCTCTTGGAACAATACCAGCACCATTCTCTTCACATTGCTGTGATGTCTCACCACAAGACCCATCAGCTCTCCCTACACAACTTCCACCATTACTATCAGCACATGGGGCCCTCTTTGCCAGACCTGACGAGACGGCAGCCTTGCCTGCTGCCCCCATTTTGATCAGCCGAACACACACCCGATGGCAGGCATCAATAACATAACGCAACAGCTCATGGGCATCCTCCTGCCGCCCAATCCGGAAATGCTGAACATACGTTCGCAACTTGCTAACCATTGACTTGGGCGCATCAATAGACCCAGAGAAGGTGAGAGATCGGCGGATCCGTTGCTCCAACAAACAAAATGGACAATTCTCAATCGCATTACCTGAATCAAGAAAATCCATGCAGTAGAGCACACAGGCATAAGAGGCACATTTGAAACTCGTTCAAACTGGCTTGGTTATTCTCATTCTCTTTTCTTGACGCTTTCTTCTGCTACCAGTGTATGCTCTTGCAGACCTTCCATAATGCCTCACTCATACTGATATCACATCAAAAGAACAGCCCCACACCCCTGAGCCCCACCTGTAACTTCAGGAGAGGGTGTGGTTATGCTTTCCTGATTTAGACACAGGATGTGTCGCTCTAAGGATGGGCAGGGAGAGGGATTGATGTACGTGCACACACAGGGCACATCACATGTGCTCATTGTAGTGATGAGCTAGGCTTAGAGGGCTATAATAGGACATGGTGGAATAGCAAACAAGGCTAAGGCACAGGGACCTACTGGCAAACTTAAAAACACAAATTCTAACTTGAGACAACCCAGTTGTTTATTCAGAAACATGTGTTCTATGGTTTAACCCAGGGCATGGATTGTTGCAGTGTGTCGAGCCCAACGTAGCAGAAGAACATGGATTGTTGCAGTTTGTCGAGCCCAACGTAGAAGAAGATCAGATAAAATAGGTCCAGTCACGTCTCCACAATCCCCATATGGTACTTGAATGAATGGACTAATTCCAAAGAAAATTCACTTCAACACAAGTAGGAAACTGAGAGAACTTTTGCTCCATTCCCTCGCTTGAGCGGGTAGGAGAGGGTACGAAATCTTAATCAAAGCTGGAAGTAGAAGCGTCATAAGGAGGCTAAGAGGAGCAACGAGAAGATGTTGGGTGCAACGGAAATCTGGGACAGTTACAGTGTACTCCGAGGTTTTCATAACCACAAGACAGTTGCCAATTGTGGTCCTTTTGAGCCATTGTTTTTTTATTAAAAAGAAACTGCTTGCAGTAGTTCAGGGCTTGGACACTGTTTTCGTCTCCTCTGTCCTCGCACCACATCTCTCATCAATGTCGCTGTTGTGTCTGTTAGGGATGCATTTCTCAGAAGGGTGAAGGTGGTGAATGGGGCATTGACTCTGTGTTTGTTCAATTCTCTGTGCTTGGGCCACATCCGTCATCCATGTAATTCACGGGACTGGATTGAGGAAACAGTGCACGGGCACGTCAGCAATCATCCGTGCACAGGTTTATTGGCAAACGCTTCGATGTCACATGCTCCACAGCTCCAATGATCCAGATCATCCAAGGCCAGGACATGGCACCTGTGTTTCACACACCAAGACAGAGCAAGAGAAAACGCCATGGCAGATGGGGGGACATTGCTCTATATGACACATTATTTAGTAGCAGAATACAGGCGTCGCATCAGAGCTGAATTGAATACCCAGAAGCCTTGCATCGACTTCATTTTGGATTACTTTCTTTCACGTGAGTTTGACGTTATTTCGTGTGAATTCGACTTTCTCTCCTGTGCATTCTCAGTTCGCGCAGCCATGACACGCCACTCTCCAGACTATCCAAACACCAGAAGGAATGCACTAAGTTTCTGTTCTAATAGGACAGGGATAAGAGTGAGGCAAGCCTGGTGGGAGGCACCCGCAGACGTAAGACAGGGATAAGAGTGAGGCAAGCCTGGTGGGAGGCACCCGCAGACATAAGAAAATAAAGGTGAGATGGCATCATGTATCCTCTAAACTGAGAGTGGATCAGGGGATCCTATCCCGCTGTAGGAGAACAGCCCTGACATTAGTCACTCTGTCATCAGAAAATACGGTGGCCACTGCAGCAGTGCCATCTTGCTGATGCACAACACGCAGATCCAACTTGGGTTTCAACCAACAGGACAGAGGTGAATGCAGCTAGCAAAACAACTCGTTGAATGATGGAGGAACTTGGTTGCAGTAGTCTACTTTTGGAGAGAGTCACCTCTCTTTCTGACAGAGATTTGTGAGGATTGAGCCCTCAACGGGGCCTTGCCGACATGCATATGTTCTGGGCATAGGCCCCCAGCAAGCCTCGTGCCCGCCCTAAGTGAAGGCGGGCCAGAATATCCACGAGAGACCCGCATTCAGCATTTCACAAAGTGGGTATCAGACAGTTGCCGCACACCAGTTGGTTGGAGTGCATCGTGAGCCTCAGACTCCTGCAAAGGCAGTTGAGCCCAGGGCCTCGGTTGGTTGAGCTCTGGGCGACAGTCTGGGAGGCCGACACATCACACATTGGTCCCTGGCCTCAGAAAAGCAGTATTTCGTCGTAGAGGCCGAGGAAACCAATGGGAAACCCCTACAGGGCCTGAATCTGGACAACGGCCCTAGCATAAGGGGCGCAACTGTATTACCTGGGCCCCATCTGCATTGCGCCTGGGTACAGGTACTGGGGCCTAGGCGCAGGCTCAAGGCAGACCGCCCACCTGCAACACTGGCATATAGGCAGAACAGGCGAGTGGGCAAGGATCTTGGCCATTGCGAGCAAGGCCGGCACGCTGAAGCATTGAGAGGTACTGCGCTGCGCTAGGCTGAGAGAAGGCAAGCTGGCGCTAAGCGGTAGGGCGCAGGGCACTGGCGGCCATAACCGGGCTGCAAGAGGGCGCTAAGGGAGGTGAGGGCAAAGGTGGTTCTTCGGAAGGTGAAGGGCGCTGTGTGGGATAACAAGGGAGAGTGAGGGAGAAGAGAGAGACGTACCTGGTGGAGAGGAAGTCGGCATTGGTGTTGACGTCATCACTCGCTGGTCGTCAAGTTGTCTGGTTGCTTCCATGCTGTAGTTGTAGGGATAGGCTGTAGAGTAGATAGGGCGCCTGGCGCCATTCAAGAGAGAGAGCTACATTGGGTTATGCTGTTGGTGTTGCCCGATTGGGCTTGGACATTGACTCACGATTCTGCTGTATCGTTCTCAAATGGATGGCTTCTTGGTTCCATTGTGCTATCTGCTCTTGCTTTGACTACTTGGACTTCAGTGTGATTTTGCAACGTGGATTTCTGTGCTTCGTCCACATTCATGTTCCTAGCAATTTGGTATCGGAGCCGGTTCGATTCGCTGCTTACCTTGGTGCGCTGGCGTTATACAAACTTGGTGCGTTGACAATGCTTCTTCGCAGTTGGTTCTTGTGACGTCAGGCCGATATTAGGCGCACAACCTGGGTAGAGAGGTGTGCGCCGGAAGGCTGTACGGCTTGGGATGCCGAGGTGACGGCGGAATGTATGATTGGTGATGAGAACATGCTGATGTGGCATTTGGCTGAGGTGGCACTGCATTGCGTTGTGGGTGGTACCGAGGCTACGACCGGTCATCAAATGCACACTCAGCTCAATTGGTGAGAAATCTGTGGTTGGGGGCAGCTATCTCCAGGTACGTTGTTCCCTTACCTTATCTACCATCTTAATCTCTTCTTACCGCGAGGAAGTGAGTCCAACTTGAGAGTCCTCTCTTTTGGTGAGGTGTCGTGAGCGCTCTACCTTGAGAGACGACAATCTTCCCGGTGGCACATCTGGAAGGAGAAAGGGCGGTGCCTCTGAAGGGCCCTGGTCGAAGCACATGGGTCACGGTCACCATGCCAACCCAATGGGATCAGTACACACATGCGATGGCTGCTTTGTCCATGAGGGCACTTTTGCTGCGCTGATAGAGGGGTGTGCGAACTGAACAGGCTTATGCAGACGCTCCCAGACCGTCTATAAACATTTCTGAATGGGGATCCGATCTGTCCACTGGTTGTGATCATCGTCCTGATTGCGACGTTAAATAATTCCTGAGCAACCTTGGGGGCAGTCCTTAAATAGGCCTCTTGATCAGCCAGATCAGTCGGACGTACAGCTCGTTGCACGCGAGGATAAAGAAAGGGCAAGCCTGGTCATAAGCATGCACCTAGGGCACAGGGGTGGGCCGACATTGCACACCTATGACACTGCCTCTCAATGATGCTCATTGGTACGTTGGATTGAGGGGAGGGGAGGTTCCAATTGGTGCTCAATTGTAAACACAACCATATCCACTGTTCATACATCTGCAACATAGTTTAGTTTTATTGTTAACACCTCACAGACAGTTTAGTTTAGGACTGTTGTATACTACCATAGCCAGTTCTATGCAAAACTTCTGTGAGTGGACTAATCATGATATAACTAAATTATGTTACGGTCTTTTGTGAATGTTGTAGGCTGCCACTTGATCGGTTGAGTAGGGGACCTGCCGAACACATTTATTTTTAGAAAATTAAGTGTCAGTCAGACACATGCTGTGGTAGAACTCCAACAGGGAGTTGTAGTGCAGATAGTGTTTGCCTAACTGATGAGTGGGTCAGACACCGATGACGGTAGAGTTGACGATGCGAGGCTGACACGTTCGAGATCACTTAGGGTCCCGCACGTGTTTCAGGCCCTACGGCCGGGAGACGAAAGACGGCTTCGTGCCGAAGTTAGAGCCCGTGCTTACGCAGCAGCCAGGGAAACAGCACTAGCTGCAAGTCAGGCGTTGGCAGACCCCTGTCCCCATCCCCACCGCCACCCATTTGGGGGGGGGAGCGTGTATCCCCCGGGGGGGGCTGGGGTGGGAGAAAATTGCATTTGTGGCTTTTCATGCAACAGGGTGAGCACCAACGCTGCGCACCCCCCACTAATTATTTTTTAAAATTTTTCCACTTTTTTTTTTTTTTTTTTTTTTTTTTGGGGGGGGGGGGGGGGTCCAGACCCGGAGTCGGGGTTGCCTGCCCCCGGACCCCCAGACCGCCACCGGGGGCCCGGGGCCGGGGATGGACAACCCCGAATACATAACCTGTGCCTCTACAGTTCTCGGCATCAAAGACACAGCCAAGAAGTTTTGTCATCTCATTCGTGGCTTTTCTTCGTGCAATTCTCTGTATCTACTCTTCTCTTGGGTTCACTTTACCTCTTCTGTTTCTCCCTCCCCCACAAAAAGGTCCACTTGCCCAGTGTTCTGCATTGGATGCCACCGCCGCTCACCTGTGTATCTTTACTGTTGGTCTTAGCATTCCCACCCTTACAAGGAAGCCTGTTTTCGTCTGTGTTTTCTGTTTTGTTTCCTCCTTTTG